GCAATCACTTAGTCGGTGCGAATACCATTGCACAGCATTTGACGCAAAGGGCAGGTATAAATGTATTACGCCAAAAGCTCGTAATGCGTCTTGATTTGTATAGTTTTTGTGTAGCCACGCGTAGCAATGTGGGTATGAGATACTGCAATAAAAGCAAATCAACGGACAAGGAAAAGATAGCTGATCTACACACTGAAACCACTGCTGCAGTAAGTGCATTGAGTATTTCGATATTAATAGACTTCGTAAAGCCACTTTTTTGCTGACATCTAATCGACTAAGGAAGTTGTCATTATTCACTAACTCGATAGAATGTTATGTTATACATCATCGCAACTATGAATAGTATCATTTGTCGCGGGATGAATTCAGTGGCATCGAGTGAAGCAGACTTAAAGTTGGATAAGATCAGGATTCTACATAAAGCCAGTATGCGTTGGTTTTGTTTTATGTCCAGCCGCACCGAGGCGTAACTGCCCGCACTCTTAATGCTTTCCCCAAAGCACTCATTAATTAGCACAAAGTACGAAACGAACCAAGCATATAGCTTGGAATATCTTTTGTGAATCCACTGAGCTCACTTTTTAACTTGTCAACCACCTCTTCATACACTCGGAATCATCTACGCCAACGGTTACTATATCTTCCTTATCTGGAAGCAGATCTCCCACGTCCCGCACGTAATTATTGATGCCTTACGACCTATTATCGTGCCACTCACTCATGTCCGCATCCTCATCATCAGCAACCGTCAGAGCGAAGTCTTGGGGCTACGATTTAGCTTCGCTACCGACCTTATCCTCAGCCACTACTGAACTGCTTGAAAGCGACCGAACTGATGCAGATTCACCAGCAATTGTTCCTCTTGTTTCTTCGACTTGTGCATCTCCACTTGCACTACCACTCGATACTTCGAAGATAAAGTTACCAGTATCAAATTTATCTGCCCCAACTTCATCAAATGCGACTCATCGAAAAGGACAGACGGGAATGAACGGTGGTCGCTGGACGGATCAAGAACATCAGAGTTTCTTGGCCGGTTTGCGGCTGTACGGTCGTGAATGGAAAAAAGTGGCGGCTAAAATTAAGACGCGCACATCTGCTCAAATTCGTAGCCATGCTCAAAAATACTTTGCCAAGCTTACGCGCGACGATGAATTGCGCAAGCCTAGCGCTCTCCCTACGATAGTGTCTGGGCCTGCGGGATACTTAAGCGATGGTGGCTCCTCCGTTGCACAGTATAGCGGTGACGACGATGGTGATGGAGTGGACGCTTCTCTCCCAAAGGCATGCAGTCTCTCGACTCGGCAGTTGAAAGAAACTGCTAATATTTTAATAGCTCCTATGGGCTCGGCAGATAATGCCTTTGATAAGCGATCAGCGGGGATTACGAAAAAGAGATTGCGAACAGCGGTGACAGGATTTGGTGGTCGCAACGGAATTAGCCCCACCACAGTACACAAGCATCAGAAAAGAACAACTGAAGCCTCACAATTGATATATCTTCCTTCGCAGGAAGAGTTACTAGCAAAAGCGTCTCCAAATCTTCGTCACAGGTTATCGAGTCTTATTGAATCTGAATTGTGCGCTCTTCAGGTTCTTTCATGCCACGCTTTGATACAGCAGCACGATCAAATTGCTACTGCAACAATACCTGGACTCGTCGCAGAACCGTCCTTCGGTCTATCTTTTCTACCGTCGAACCCAATCTTATCTAGTTCATCGACTTCTCATTGATATATTTGCTTACCTTATTTGCCGCAGTGTAGTATAACTATTAATTGAACAATAATTACCAAGTAGATTTACAGCTCAACAATTTGAGATTGTTTTTGAAGTCTCCTACCCTTGAGAAAAGATAGAGATTGCGATAATTAGTCCAGAAATATATTGTCAATCAAATGGCTTCATCTAAAAAGACCCACGGCTCAAGAACCATAGATTAGAAAAGTTGCCACCAACGTGGACCACAAAACCTTCAAGATAGACCTATTGTGTAGGGTTAGTAGTCAGTTAAAAACGTTTCTTACTTGGTTAAAATACGGGACTATCGCTTTCCGCAATTACATACTTTGTTTTATTGTCGCGTTGCCAAGCAAGCGTCTAACAACGACAGCTTTGCTTTCTGTCCTCTCTATCGATCCATTGCATCAGCAGTAGCATGGGGCAGGGATGGTCCCATAAACGCATGCCCAGCGGTGGAGACTTTTACGGGGGACCAATTTACGCGACCAGCCTAAGCCACGATCGACAGACAGAAGTACGTGTAAGCGGAGACTCCGACACAGTGCAGATTGGCCCACGCGCGCAACTACCATATCTGGACATGCCTCCGTGTCGCAAGCAAGATTTTTTTCGACAGTTAGGTCTGGTAGTAAAGACCCGAGGCAGCCGTATTACGCAAAATGCGGAAATTGTAATCGCTGACTACTATAGACTGGATGGTAAGCGATTTGTGCCGCGTAATCATGGACAGGGTTTGCAGCCCACAAATTGGCATGGACTGAAAGGTCCAGCGGAGGCAAGCTGTGGCTTACGCGTCGGAGATACACTTTATGCCATCAACCACCGACTGGTAATGAACAAATCGAAAGGACAGATTCTGAGGCAGATCAACTCGTTGCTCGAGAAGGGTGATGGTTCGATTGTGGTTCTTACATGGAAGCATACGGATGAGATTGAGATCGTTTCGTGGGAGAATGAGCTTTGCATGCCACCTCCTGAGGGCGTCTTTACACAATTGGATAATGAGTGGGGGCCTGCCCGGCCTAGCAAGATCTCCTCTGTCTCCATTTAGCAGCAAGCATGGTTACATGACATCTACGCGTGCACCAGGCTTTTCAACTGTTTTTTTCGCTATTCATATTATATCCACTTCGAACGCTTGCTCTACTGCCACCTAATGAGCGGTGTCCGATCTGGCAAATCAATCGCAAACTGAGCTCTTCAGTATTTTTTGAATTAGTACGGTACCACTTATTTGCGAGTGTAGCAAATTTGATCACTTCACACATGTACTACTATTGCGAAATCTTCGAAGCTTAACCCCCTTTGCTACATCGAAATTGCTTAAACTTTGTTCGTTTAATTGTAAATATTACGTAGTGCTCATTTTACCTCTTCTATTTAGTACAAAATCTTTGTCTCATGAATATGAGACATGACCTCTCGTAAATTACTCACTCCAAATATTAATTGCACTCAATTTTCTCAGAAACAATATGAAAGCCGGAGATTCTTACTGGATCTAATATTTTTGCTTGGATATCAAAATTCAGATGGTTCTCACAATGGAACAAGTAGGAAGATATTTAGTATCTGGTCCCGTGAAATTCTCGAAATTATAAAATGTTCCCAAGGTTGAAGTGAATATCCTTCGCCACCCGCCGAAAGTAAACAATCACGAAATGGTGTTGCGACTGATAGCAATTACAGTCAGTCTGTAATGGATCTGCCGTGCACCTCGTGCAGATGGAACTTTGACTTTACTATTCCGTATTAACTTACACAAGGCGTGCAGCGGGGTTGCCATGCATTACGCACAGAAGGTTCTTGGCTTTCTTACGCGAACAATCGCACATTAGAGAGTTCGTGCACTTTTACCAGGAGTGGAATCGATAGCCTTTACAGTATCCACAATGTTTGTTCTTTCTGCCATCTCAAGAGTTCATTTGTTCAGAAAAAAATCTAATCATGGTAATACTGGATACAGACGTGCTGGTATTTCTTATCACAATACTTAATTTTTGTAAATCGTGCGGCTAACAACTACTTTTCTGGAGTTTCGTGATGATCTATCGGTACGAAATTTAAAAATAAGTATCATGCGAAGACTGTAAGCGGGCGCTAATCCCAATGTTTTGTGCGACGTCCGCGAAGAAGAACGACTTGAAGGCCTTAAGGAAGGTTTACAACCGATTTATAATTAATAAGTGGGACGAAAGCTACATGCAAACACCCCCAGGGGCTCCAAGAGGTTTGACTCATCAAGTTTTGAATTCCTATGAGTCTAGTTTTTACAATCAAGGGTGTGACGAGATTGAAATATAGCTTGAACAAAATATTGGGTGTATGGAGCTTGAACCTCAGAAGTTCTAAATTCCAGCTTTCGTGAAAAGTTCCTAGCAGAAGTAACTAGCTTACGTCACCCACTTCAGAGACAGAGAACCGTCGGTCTTGTAACCAGTTAAATTCCCAAGTAGGAACCATTATTCTATATCACGCAAAAAAATTGCGACTTCATTTAAAATGCCATACATGCATGTGGGGTGTCTTACAGTAATCTTCATTTGCCATCAATACATACAGAAGGTACATACATTTACCTTCATGGATTGGTCAAGCGTAGCCCATTATATCATTCCCTTCCTAAAGACATAATTACATTTATACTTTTGCAGACCTATTGCAGCAATTCACTTTTCGATCAACGATGAATTGATCAGGTGAACACGCCAGATTTGAAGAGCATTCTTTATCGCTTAGGCAAAGAGCAGTTCCAGGCTTAAACTTACCCGCGTTTTCAGCCGAAATAAAGACAGGAAGTTTTATATGAGACATTTTTTGCTGGCGTCGCATCAGCAATCGTGACGATCAAAACCAGTCCATCGCAGATAAAGTAGACATATAGCGGGTATCTGTTAGCCTCGAGCGCAAAAACAAGATAGAGCGTCTGCTGTGCCGAGTCAGCGCAGCCAGGTCACCCAACTACGACCGAGTAAAACCTAGCTCTGGTCGTGGTGGTGATGCCTCTAGCAACACAACAAGTGATTCTCGTAGCTGAGGACCACATCGAGGATTTCAGGGTCTGACGAGGTTCCCACGTGCTGGAATCCAATGGATAGCTTTTTTTAGAAGTGCTGAAAGCTCAACTGCTTCTCCTACGATAATTAGTTGAGCGATATTCCTGATCGACGATCGTCTCAAGCACCCGACGAGGCTTCCCTAGGTAGTATGATAGCTGAGGTGGGGGGCGAATTTGAAAACGATTGAGCGACTCTAGTAGTGGATGAGTGCTCATCGCGCGCAAATCGACGCATTACAGTAGCGTTGCTCGACGCTTGGAGATCTCTGCAAGAGCTTTTTGAACCTTGTTGCGGAACTTGAAATCCGGCGTTTTGATATCGCCCGATCCTCGACTTAGAGTCCGTATTAAACTGCTGCTCCAAAAGGTTCAGTTCGTTTCTGAAGGACGAGAACTCTCGTGAGCTGGCTCGTGAACACCTTATGAGTTTTGTTGGTAGGGCAGGCTCTGATCTCATGGTACTTTGTGGTAAGCACCATTTTCCCCTTCGAGAATTCGAATCAGTTAATGAGCGATCCTTCAATATCCTTCGGTCCTTGTACGCCGAGATTCTCCAGGGTGAAGCGATAGTTGCTCCTCGCAGTCGAGTTGATAAATCTTATGATCGGCTTGATCATCTACCAAAGATAGAGTTGAATCGGCAGCTCCAATCGGTAGAAACGACTTTAGCTTGGCCACAGAGAACGTAGGGCGTTGGCGCATGCGTTTGGCGATGACTAGGGTAGATGCATCATCATGGCATTTAACCACCTTAAATAGTCCAACAAATCCTGGCTAAAGCTTTCTGCTTTCCAAATTACACACTGGATGTTCAGGCAGATTCGAAGTACGCGATCACTGACCTTATATACTTTCTTGTTTTCCTTCCGCTCTTATCTGCTTATTCGTGCTGCGGATCCAGAGTTTCGTCTCGAAAAAAACGAACGACGGCTTGTCTCTTTGCAATAAAGTCATTGATGCGTTGTTCTTCACGACATCAGGCCGTCTAGAGATCGCATTATGTCAAAATTCGCTTTTAACTCTGAGACAGCATTTAGGTCCGACGTAACCATAATTTTTCCACCAATAAAGGTAGATACCTCACCATTAATGGGAGGGTACTCTAGGATGGATACCATAGTTCACATCAAGTGGCGAGTGACCTGTCGAGACATGCATGGAATTGCTCAACGCAAATCTGCGAAAGAAAACTCTCACTCCACTCAGTGTACGACGTAACGTAATTACGGATTTCGTTCTCCAAAAGTCATTTCAAAAGTTTTATCCGACCGTCCGTTTCAGAGTGTGCCGCTGTTGATATAGACAATTTGATGCCCAACTGTAATGGGGTTACACGTGCTAATATACGAAAAGGTGGGCCACAAACGATGGTGTGACCGTACAAAGGTGTGGAATCAACAACATGGTGTAATGGCTTCTTGTTACGGTGTAGCAAACCATTGTGGGATTACATCGTAACTAGAAGCCACTACGTGGCAGGACTGCCAGAAGTTATGCAAATTAATTGAGGGTTTACTAGTTAATTAAAACGCCTAAGGTTTCAGATATAGGCGGCTTTCCCGCAAAAAAAAAACAATTTAATACAGCTTTGATTTCAAACGAAAGACTGTATTTGCCTTGGTTTAGGTTTTGGGGTTCTCTTGGAGGTAGCGGATTGCGATCCAATACACTCGTACTGGTTCAAGTAAAGAGCGTATGGTCGGTGACCTAAGCTTAGCTTCCTCTAGGTTATTATCTACGGCAGCACTTGGGAGCACTAGCAGTCAATCTACGCTTGAGTCGTTACGACTGATCTCTGTGAGGATGAAGCAATTCTCTTATTTGCCCCAATGCATGCATGATGGAGAGAATCTCATGCTTTAGGTGAGAGAGGCCGAGATGACTATAGCATTCGCCATGCTTCAGAACGAGCAACAGCGCGCGGCGCTAGTTTCCATCAAGCTTGGAAGGCGAGCGCGAGAACGGGGACTGACGTCGGTCAAAACCGCGTTCCCCACCTGAAAAGAGCTGAAGCTGCAGCTTTTGCGAAGGCTCTCGCCGCTAACCAGGCATGTCGCGTGTGATCACATTTCCTTGCCGCCCGATAGGGCAAAATAAATTGGTGATTTTTTCTAAGAGTTGCGAACTTTCAGTGCTGGGATGGCAGCCAATTCTCTCTTAGCGGTGGTTACAGTGGCCGACTTTATGGAGGGCCTCGGCACCGGCGTGGACAGAGTGAAAGTCTTGCGTGTGCATTCGTCTTCTTTTGAAGAAGCGGTGAATGTGGCACTGAATGCCAAATTTAACTTTAAGTCGACACAACTTGGTTGAAATGCGTACTCTCAGAGTTTGTCGAACGGGCCTGAGCCAGCTATGCTGAGAAAGAGAAGGGTGAGCTCTGAGCTGCCGAGCAGCGTTTAAAACCCGACGGTGTTTTGTTTGTGGAGACACCTGTCACCTTCGGACTGGTTGTGCACTGCACAGGGCATGTAAAGGTTCATCGAGCCGACGTCCCACTTCTAACCAGCCTGGTCTGTCGCAGGGAAACGACAGAACTGAGTTCTGTTGAGCCTCAGATAGGTAGGTCACCGACCTTTCGTTCTTTACAAGAACCAAGTATGAGTTATCGGATCGTAATCCGCTTACTCCAAGAGTAATTATTGCCTTCTCAGGCTCATCGACTCTTCGGTTTAAATTCCAGACTGATTATTTATTCATCTTTTTATCCTATTTTTAAAGTTAAGATTTTCCTAAATATATATAGTAAAATCTAAATACATGCATAACTACTGGCTACATAGCCCCGTACCGTATTACTGTCTGGGTGTGTGGTCACACCATGCATATCTCGTGTGACACTTCTTTGGGCTCGTGTAACCTCGTTACAGTAGATCACCAAATCAACATATCATCAGATATTACCACAGTGGACATTTTCTGATTAGAAACTATGTGTGTACAGAATAAGATTTGGCACACGAGATTGCTTCATTTCGAATAAGAGCCAAAATTAGCATTTAGTCGTCTCTCTGCCGAATTACCCTCTATGATCATGTTAGTATATCAGACACTAGTTACGGTTTGCGTAAATCTAAATTTGCCCTGATTTCCCATATCCAAGATTATATCAGGTCAATCTTCGCCGACATGTTGCATTATATATTTCATTCCATTGAACAAAAATGATAGGATTGGAAGAGGGCATTTTTACAACCGCTACAAGAACTTAAAATAAAGGTGTCACCAATACCGCACTAACGTCGGCATAGGATACCTGGTGCGAGGTTCCTTAAACTTGCAGCATCCTTCAAAACAGTACAATCGAATTGACGCTGACGTTGCTTTAGCTGCCGACAACGCTCAGGTGTATATACTTTCTTCAGCTTTTGTAATTTCGACAAAAAAATGAAAACTTTGGCCGCATTCGTTCAAGTTTCTGTAGCCATGTCAGCTGCTTTAGCGCTCGAGAATACACCCGTGTCATTGTGCCGCGATGCTACATACATATCCTCAGCTTCTCGAGGCGCCGTTTGCTTTGGCACTGGTAAATCTCCGATTGGCACGAGCTGCCCACTGAAGGGCGATGTAGCCATTGCAGATTGCTATGAGTACTTACCGTCATGGAATGGTAGCGCATGCGTCACACCGGAAGACGCCAAATGTGCTAATGTCAATGGTGTTGCCTGGGGTTGTGTACTGCCGTCGGTTGGTTGCGGATCAAGTACTCCATGCCCGATATTCTCCTTACCCGACACATCTTACTCGATCCCTGACACCCCATCCGTAAAGTCTACAGATTTTCCATGTCCGGGTATTTCGATTGCAAGTACTCTATCCCCAATTTCGTCGCCTCCGTACATCAACACACTTACATCAACACCTTGCCCAGCGCTTCCAGTGCCCCACTTAGCGACGACCATTCTTTCGGATGCAAGAGCAGCGTCGATGATCGCTCTAGCTGAACCTTCCTCTTTCCAGCCTACGGCACAGCATGCGGAGGCAATAACTCCAGCTTCGACTCCGTGCACTATTCCCGCGGATTCAATGCCGAATGTCTTTCCAGCAGCTACGACGTCTGCCGTAATTAACTGATCACTAAGTCGCATTCGATCGACACTGCAACCCGTAACATTAAGGCAGTGAACCAACCTAAGTACAAAGATAATGAAAGCACAATATTCTATATCAATATATTTTGTTGTTTCCGACAATTTAATAGTAGAAGACATGCCTTGAATCTTGAGACCTTGAAAATAGTTAATGTAGAAATCTGTAAGAGATTGAAGAATCTCAAAAAAAGAATTTGTACTAAAATTTAGACAAACAGACAATTAACAGTAACGCATATTCATAAAGGGCTTGGAAAGGGTAGCAAAAGCAGATCGTAGGATAAAAAAGCTGATCGTGTCAACGATTGCTGCTGATATGATGACTTGCTAACCGAGGACGCCATCCCCCGTTCACCTTAGTCTCGTAGGAATTGAGGCGTTTTCTACGAATCACCTCCGCTCGGATGCGCAAAACCGCCTTTCTGAAGTAAAAACGACAGGTTTTTATTAAAAGAGGTTTAATTTAATTTGACTAGCAAACAGTGGGTAAATACGTCCCCCTACTGCCACTTTTAAACATAAGTACCAGTGCGTTTTAATTATTAAGAAGTGCAAGAAGGGAGGCACAGCGTTTGATTATGTAGTTGCACGTGGCATTGCTCTGATGAATATCCGCCAAGCCATAAAGTATAGTGCTGGCCTATGATTTTGACAGATTTCTAATAATTTTGGGCGTATGCGCCATTCATTGCGTTTACGAACTCAGGGTCAATAAAAGATCCATAGATATGTATCCGCTGCTAATGTACTTGATATCGACACTATGTTTATTTGTAGATAAGACTTACTGAGTGGTGTAACAAACATGCAGCAGCGACCAAACAAGCATAACAAGTTTGTGTTCCTTTGCCAGGTGAGTCTTAGGAAAACCAACAATTCATTGCATTGTGATGTATGACCCCACTGCGCTCAACTTTGATGTCGATAAGTGTGTCTGTGTGTAAACGGGTAAAAGGGACAACTGCACCCCAAGAATATTTTCACTAAACCTTGCAACAAAGCTCGGAGCATCCTGTATATTTAAAATTTCTAAAATATAACCCACGGTCACGCTATATTCTGTAGTGCTAAATGCATTCTGACATTATTATCGAAGGTCAGCTTTTTCGAAGGACTGGGCTCCTAAAATTTACGTTACTTGCCCCACTCATCCTATAACGTTTTCTTTATCTAAAGAAGCTATAGATGCAGTGAAAATGTGGCTTTTTTCATCGATCACTCCCCAATGCTACTAGAGCTGTTGTGCAGAGTTGAGTCTACTAGTTTGTCTAGCATATACATAAAGGCTGGATTTTCCTTGACCCAAATAATAAATTTGGTAGCCTGAGTTGGAGTAAGGATGCGCTGTAGTTGCGCAACCTGGGCCTCGAGTGCGGTATTCTTCTCATCGATCACTTCTTCTAGTTTTTTTACGATACTCAATGTGTGATTCAGATCGTCACGCACTTTCTTTATGGCCACCCGACGCTCCAAAATTTGACTTTGCTGTTCACATGAGACTTCCAACTCCTCCGCCAATATATTCCAAAGACTCGTCGTGCCTATGGTGGAATCTGATGCAGACGGTGGGTCATCCTGTATTACGTGATCATCACGCCTCAGTAAATCCACACCCTGTTCGACCGAGTACAGACTCATCTTTGTGACTTGCGTGGGAAGAAGTAACTCTCGTATGCGTGACAAATGAAAGTGCAGCTTCTCGCGTCGCTTCGGCCCGTAGTCTGAATATGTAACCTTGTACATGTTTAAAAATTGAGCAATTTCTTGTTCATTTGCATTTTGTTGCAGCATTTGTCGCATTTGTTCCTTGATTTGCTGCTTCTCGCGCTGCTCACCTAAAATTGCCTCTTTGCCAATTTTAAGGCGCATTTTTAGATCCATATTGTCCGCCTCTAGCTGACGTAAGCGTGCTTCATTTTGTTCAAGCTGCTTGGTTTTACGCTTACGGAACTCTCTTACAGATGCTAAGTTTTTTACCCGTCGGATCTGCTTCTTTTCGAGCTCTTTGACGAGTCCGTGGCAATCCGTAGTCGACGAAACTGCACCAATTTTTTTGTACTGTAAAGGTCGTTGACTTTCAGCGACAACAGAAGCATTGGCAGTGCACTTTGCTCTGGTGTTGTGGCTACGAGGAAGAATCGTTTGTTTGGTACTCTGTAGTCGAATTACGCGGCTTCTTCTTTTGCTTTTCTTTTTAGTATTGATCGAGTAATTTTCGCCCGTCACGCCATTGTTTTCTCCGCTGCAATTTACACTATCACTCAAATTGTCATGGTCCAATTGTCGCGCATTCGGAAGCATTATTGATGCAGACGTCACGCCCTTTATATCTTCACGGAATTGGGTCCCCGGCATACAAAAATTCGGCTGCGCTACATTAGCAGTAGATGATATAGCTGCCTGGACCTGTAATTTTTCTACGATTGAGCCTCTAACAACCGCGCAATCTATCTCGATATCGTCCGAACGCGAAAAGTTACCAGCTGGATTAAACATTGCAGTCTCAGCTGTTTCAGTGCTCGCGGTCGCAGAGACTGCCGCATTATTATACAGCAGCCACCCGAACGCATCTTCCTCGCCATCATTGAAAATACTTAAGTCGATGCCGCTCATGGCTGCGGGGCTCGTGCTGCTGGCTCTGGTATCGCGACGTTCGCTCATGTGCGAAATCGCTACAAATGTTAAGGTACTGTAGTAAACATTATTTTTATGATGCATTTCAAAAATTATTCTATAACAAAGAAGGCTCTGAGGTAGACAAACGCAGCGACTACCGACAAGAATCCAAATATGAGCGAAAACCAAGAGCCGGCTTTGAGTAGTGCAGATAAACTGTGAATATTTTACCAAAGTATTGCCGCGAATGGCTGACCCGCAACTTGCTCAAGATGACATCATCGATCTCAGGGATATGTTGCAGGTTTCTCCTTCGCACCACTGTTAAAAAGTCAGGCAATCCGAATGCATACTTCGCTCGTGAAGCAGCATCTGTTTAACCCGTCCATTTGGATAAAACTGACAGACACAAAGCCGCTGTCGAGTGCCATTTTATTATCAGTAGAATTGGTGTCGCCAAGTGTAAAAGGCTCATAGAACCCCACTGCAAGTAATGACAAATAGCCGGGTAATCGTGACCCTCTACGATACATTCTTGACATTGCTTCCGCAAAGCTACGTCAAATTTTTCGTTCAGAGAAATGGTCCACTTGCAGAGAAATAAGACAGCACCACAAGTTCACATCCTCAACTAGTGGGTTAGGTATCAGCTTAAGGAATACAAATTTTCTACCGCTATGAATTATTCGGACGCTCCGAAAAGTTCCATCCAACAGTTCGAAGAATCCCGGTTAATACACCCCTGCCTTGGGTGCTGACTGCAAATCTCGAAATTTCTGGCTGTGTCTGCTGATTCTGATATTCTTCTGCAGTCCACGACTGTAGAACTAACTTCTGATTTAGTGGTACTGAAGACAACTTTTCATCTATCATGCAACTGCACATGAGAGGCTGGGCCGGTACTCGATTTTGCTGTTGCAGCATACTAGCAGCACGGGCAAGTATCCAGATTAGGGGAGCAGCATTGACTTTACTCGTGTGTACACCCGTCACATCCACAACGCTGACATCACTAAAATCGGTAGCGTTGTGTGTGGAGCATTCGAATGAGTCTTCAACTAGGTTTGCGCTAGCACGCGAAACCACGTTTTGATCCATAGAAAATGAAGACTGTGAAACTGGGACTAACAGTATTTTTTGCTCGAAAGGAATCGAAAACCAAGTTACAGACTGCCATACCGTGCCGTGGCTGTCAAACAGATCGGTTTGAACAGTGAATTCAATCTCAGACTGAAGAAAGCGCTTTCCGGTAAGAACCATAAGACACTGTATTGCTCAATCAACATGTCAGCATATCGCACAAAGAGCTAAGTGAGTGCATCGTACTTTCAGCTCAGATGGCGGCGGCGTTTTCTCGTTTTGAGACGGAGCACTCATGTCTAACGGCCGCAGCTGGACCACAACGACAGCTTTCAGACGCAATTGGCGCACGCTCACTGGAAAATGCGAATTACCCAATAGCTGCAAGAAAAGACTACCAATTGCCATCTGTGGAAACATGAAGGGCACTTGCTCTAGCGCCAGTTTAGGAAGACTCAGCGAAGTGGCGAGCTTGGCAAAGTCAGAGGTCATTAAAACAAAGGGGCACTGTAGCGTAATGCGAGGGCATGGATTACGCAATATAGAGGTGCGCCAGCCCCGACGCGTGAGCGATGAAAGCCAGCAGCGCCAGTAGAACTCCTTCGTGCCCAGGTCAGCTGGAGCAGGTAAAACGTCGTAGCTACAATGGTATAAATGCGAAATTACAAGTGAGGGGTGCACAGGTATCTAGTGGCTTACTCATACCTCTGAACCAGATCATGCTCCCATGTGGCAGCAACAAATGCCACGAGTAGCGCCACCGCCATGAGAACCAGGAGCAAAACGCCAAGCATACGATTAGTTTTATGATTAAAGTGGTATCTATTGGAATATTGGTAATTTAAGATGTGCATTTGAAGGTCAGGTTTTGGTATGAAATCGGCTTATTATAATGGGAGAATAAAAAAAGGGAGAATAAAAAAAATGCCCCAACTTTTGCCATATATAAAAAAAATATCCCACCTTTTCAAAAAATAAATAAATACAAATTATCACCGGGGAGCCGTAATATTACACAACAGAAGATGTATTGTATTAGGAATA